GTACACAATGAAGCCCTCGAGGTGATAACCAACTTTGGTGAAGAACTTAGGCCTAAATCCCAATGGATTTGGAGAAATCAAAGAGAGAAGATGACTTATAGAGAGAGAAGCTCTAGATCAGGAAATTTGGAGAGTTTTGGAAAGAGAAGGGGCTGCAAAAAGTGATTTGGAGCCCTAATTTACGGACTGATAAACAAGGTCACTCGGGCGTGAAATACACTTTCCCGTAAGCAATTTTTGAATGCATTTTGCATTTTTGCTTTCAGCGAGCTGACCGGGCAGCTCGACCCCCGAAGTTGATCGAGTCAAAATCAAGATCGCTACATATTGCAACAATTACAAATCTAGATTTTGATTTATTCATAAAAATGCACGGGTAAATTGGATCATTCTCATATCTCTCTTTCAATAGATATATACTGAGGCAATTATATCACACGCTTCCAGATTGTTTTAACCCGTATAAAACTCTTTGTAGCTTGATAAAATAAACACTTCTGAATTTTGAGTTCAATGTTTCAGGCATCTTAAATCCATCAGGGATTTATATATATATATATATATATATCACTATCTAGTGATCTATAAATATGCTATAACCACATCCATTAAATGCATAACTAAATTTTCTGTGATTACCAAACTAATGAGAAATCTAAATGCAATTGTATTCACTACAGGTGAATAAGTTTTTTCATAGTCAATACTAAGTTAAGCATTATAAGTTACAGGTGAATAAGAAACCTTGCACAATAAGTTACGTATTATATCTAACAATTTCATTTTTCTTATTACACTATAACACAAATGCCCACTTATATTCGACAAGCTATGTCCCTTCAGGGGGTTAGACTACAAGTCCAAATATTTCATGTTTTTGTGAGCGAGTTTCACTCTTCTTGTATTGCTTCTTTCTACATTGGCCAATTATTTTTACGACGTCATTCTTCGATAGTTTGTGGTTTATTATCGTCATCACTTCTGTTAATATTTTCACCATTACTCCGAGCCTTGGGCAGGCCGGTGGGCCTAAGCACGGGCTTGGGTGCCTTTATATTTTTTTTTTTTTGTTCTTTTTAATTTTTTCTATCAAAATTTTATTATTTTTCATTAAAAAAAATGCTAGGCCTTGAGCGGGCCGGGCAGGTCAAGCCTTGAGTGAGCCTTAAGTAAGCTGATGGACCGGGCCACGAACCAGACCAAGCCGAGCTTCAAAATGATGGCACATGCCCAGGCCTAGGTTCTCAAGTTGGACTCGGGCTCAGGTCCTAACGGGTCGAGCCCATCTCAGACTTTAGGTCGATTTCAGGTAGTCCATGGATTGCGGGCCATTTTTACACTCCTAAAACCAGCATTGTTTTGTTCCACAAAGAGATGGCCACGGCTTGGTTTGTCATTCCCTATCCCGCTATGGGTGAAAATTTTCAATTCCATCTATCTTTGCAAATACCCGACCATATTTCAAATAGTTAAAAAAATTAAAAATCATTTAAATCTTTCACACATTGAAAATTTTTATTGTTTCCATATATAAACAGTGACACTTCTAAAATTATTATTTATTTATATTTAAACAAAACCAGACTTTTATTATTCCTTTCTTATATCTAATTATCTTATATGTTATATATATACATATATATTATTTATTTGTATATATTATTAATTATATCGGGTCGGGTTTGAATCGAAAGAGGCAGTACCTGCCTCCGTTACAAATAACCAAAATATAATCCACCCTGGCTCCACATAAGTGTCAGGTAAAATCCACCCCATTCGAACGGATATGGACAAATCTCAAACATCAAATTAGAATGGCCAACCCTGTCACACTTCAAAGCAACACATACAAGGCCATGACCAATTTCATCACCACTTTCAGCTTAAAGATTTCAATAGTTTAATCAACTAATGCACTAAAAATAAAGGGATTTCCAATAATTAATATGGTTCAAACCTTAGCATCTATCCACAATAACTCTCATATTACCACGGGATTCGAGATTTACAACTGGTCAATTTCAAAGCGAGACATATCAATTATGCTTGTCTCAGTCCTCAAAAAATATGCTTCTCTCAAACTCATCAAATGCTCTACCCATAACAATGATCAAATAAGTCGAATTTCAAACAAATATGCATATGTTACAGCGCAACATGGGCTCACTGTCCGATCTAAGATCACCTCATGGCATTTCGGAACTGAAAGCATCTCACCCAAACAAGGACGCTTTTCAATTGTTTGCTCCACAATAATGTATGCAACTCTTATCTAATTCCAAAATTTAGTACAAATAAATTCTATTTAATAAAAATATTGGGGACGAATTAAATCCGGCTAAAATATCCAACAAAGAAACAACCAAATCCATCTAGTTTTCATCATGTCTTTCAGTGATTTAAATTAAACAAACAAGTAACTTCAGCTGACTGGCTATTGGTGATTGCCATTTCCATTTGAAGCAGCCTCGTAAGTCCCAGATGCAGCATACATGCTTGGATCCTGATTCTGAGGCACGGCATATCCATAACCTCCATAACCTTGCCTTCCGTAATAAGCTCCGTTCACCTGATTTTTGGAGTCCGTTCTCAACTATCCACATGGAAATTTAAGAAAGAAGAAATTCAAAATAAGGAAAACAAGCTAGTGATAAAAAGTAAAAACGCACTTGACATTACTATTATTGCTATTGAAATGTAGAACTAACAGAACTCTTGAGAAAGTATAAGCAAATTGAAGGTGATACAAACTTCTACCAAAATTTACCACCAAACTTGCAGCAAAGTAAGATGGATTCAGTTGCATTAATGCAATACACAATGAGGGAAAACAGATGAAAAAAGCGTCATTCTGGCCTCAATTTTTTTCTGAGAATTATTAAGCCCTACCAACAAGTTCAATATTATATATGCCAATTATTGAATCATACAAGAGCACTTGCCATTGAAATAGCAGGCAAAATTTGTCTCTTACCCTTTTTTCTGATAATGTGGAGCTTGTCAATAACTGACATGAATTGGATAGCCAAAGACATAGTTGTAAGTAACTTGTGATACATAGTACAACACGGAATACAATATGTTGTACAGTTAAAACAGTACATATATCACTCATAAGCAACCCATCTTGAATTTAATCTATCTACAATATGCATATGATACAATAAGGGGAACACAAGAAGCATGCACACTTCTATCTCTTTGTGATATTTATAAGACAGATAATAGACACTTTCACGAAATACACATTGGAATCTTGTTTCAAAAGAACCTTTATACTCCCCTGTCACATTGTTTTGTCCGACACAGAAAACAATAACTTACAAAAAATATATTCTCATACAAAAATTCCTTTTCTTGCCAGACAAATAATTTGAGACGGAGGGAGTACTCCAACTAAAATATAAAGCCTTCTTTTCATTTGCTCTTCAAAATAAAATCTACTCTCCCTCGCCACTTATGAGTTATGATACCTCCCTAATGAAGGGTGCAAAATAATCTTATCCATAAGCAGGTGTATTGGAAATTTTTGAAGGCTCATACAATTTCGCCAAAATAGGTAGGCCTTAAGCTAGAAAGTTGGGGAAATTATTGAAGACCAAGAATGATCAACTCTTTTCACATGCGAACATTTTCTGGGAATATGTCTACGTGCAATTAAACTATAAAGCACGGACACCTCTCCGAGGGCTGCGTATCAATGTCGGACACATATCGGGCACGGACACGCGGTGGACACGTGTCCAACAAGCAGCAGAGAGTGTTTGATTTTTTTTTTAATTTTTTGGTAGTCGGACACGTCAATGTTATTAAAGGCGCACCTAGGCCCGTGCCTAGGCCCAAGTCCCATCCAGGCGCAAGGTTTGCACCTTATAGTATTCCAGGCCAGGCAACTTCAATAAGGCGCACCTAGGCGTGCGCCTAGGCCCAAGTCCCGTTCAGGCCCAAGGTTTGCGCCTTGTAGTGTTTCAGGCCACGCGACTGTGATAAGGCACCTGACTGGCCCAAGACTTGCATCTTGAAGGCTTTTTATATTGTTACTTTAATTAGTTTTGTTTAAAATCTGACAATTGATTTAATATGGTGTAGCTACAAAAGATCCCTACTCTTATTACAGATGCCAATACATTGGTCATTCAACTCAAAATCAATGATAGAAGAAAAATTAGCCATAATTCCTAATCTCCAAAAAAAACTAAATGTTTAACATTTCATTTTGTTTATATTGAACCCTAAATTATTTACTTATATTAAGTTATATTTTTTTCTGTACAAGGTGTGCCTCACTTCGGTGAAACTTGCGCCTCGCCTTGCACCTTGAGCCTAGGCCCCAGGAGACCTTGGCGCCTTCGTGCGCCTATCGTCTTTAATAACACTGGGACACGTAGCGGACATGATCGGGACACGTTCAGGGGTCAATTTCATCATTTATGAAACTTTTGTGGGGGTCAATTTGTAAAAAACAAAAACAAAAACAAAACAATATCTAACCCTAAATCGAGAAAGAGAGAACAGAAAGAAACCTGGTCGTAGGTGGTCTTTTGTTGTTCGTCAGTGGTCATTGCTCGCTGTTGTTGCAGTTATCTAAGGTAGACTTCGCTGCTTTTCTTCATTCTTCTTCTTCTTCGTTCTTCTTCGATCTCTCTCTCTCTCTCTTATTTGAGCTTTTATTTTATTTTTTTTCTTTTATATGATCAGTCAGTGTAAATCATCAGCTCTAGCTCTCTCTCTCTTTCTTCAATTTTGAACTTTTATAATTTTTTTTATATTGATGGAATGCAATTTTATGTTATTTGTATTTTTAAATGTTTATTTGTTATAATTTTAATAGTGTTATTTTGTATTTTTTATTATCCTTTAATGATTTTTTTTTATAATTTTATGACATATAATAAATAAATTTAATTATATATATTGAACGTGTCCCCAGCGTGTCGTGTCTCCCATTTTTTTTAAATTTGCGTGTCTCCGTGTCCGTGTCCGTGCTGCATAGCAATTAAACTACGTTATAATTCACCATTTTTTTAATGCTAATATTGAAGTACTAGTATTTTGAACTCCAACTATTTTGCAGAACAGTCGGAATTTTCAGACTTATTTCCTCAAGTTACTTGCCATATTACATTAAAAATAATAAAATGTCTATTCTAGAGGCACTATAGCATGTGGCTGAATATTAACAATAAATTCTACATAATTTTTAAGGAACTCAGAAAGAAAATGGAAGTCTCAAAAATTGTGCTCCAGTATTTTCTCAAACTCACTGCCACATCAGTCCTACTAGTAGATGGTTAAAGAGACCCCAATTTCTCACTTAGTTTTGTGTTCCTGTGTCTCTGGTTATCTACAAATGAAAGCAGCAAAGATATTTTGTTTTGAGCCCTGCTCTACTATTAAGAAAAATCCATCCCTTACTATACCCAGCACCTCTTCCCTTCCTATATACATCCAAGATTTTTGCTGCCTTGGGGTCCCCTGCCATCATAATCTACCCCTGAATTGCAATATTTAAGAACTTGATATCTATACAAAATGCTAACACACTTAGATGTGGTATTTTTACACTGAATAGTAGTTAGAAACAAGAAAATTGCAGAACATTCATTTGCAACTACTTGTTTCCCCTTTAAAAGAGATAGTTGAAACCATTCAAAGTTTATAATGTTCCATAGTTTGTGAAAAGACTCAAAACCATTACATTTGAAGAAACAAATTTTAACACTGAATACATCACATTAACCAAGTGATTTCTAGGGAACAATATTTGCCATTTGTTGAATATTTTTCCAGATTTTGATGTGTTTTTCAATAAACTCTCAGATTTGGAACATATCTTGCTATACAGGATATGTGAATCAGAATACAGTAAATATAGGATTCAATATACTGCACAAGTCAACACCAAAAGGTAAGACTATTGCATTTATGCAGTCAAACATGCACTCCTTCAAGTTGAGAAAATTTACCTGCCTATTCCCTGGACTTCGACCCCAAGAAAGGCGAACCGTCTGCTTGCCAATAACTGCCCCATTCAGCCCCTGCATTGCATCCTCAGCGTTGCTTCTGTAAACCGAAACAATAAAAGGGGGACCACAACATGGTTATAAATGATGTTCAAAAGCACGTTGCCATCAATATTTTCAATATCAACAGCAGTTAAAACATTGAATACTACATATTTTTTTAACTTTCTGTCTTATTTTTAAATTTGAAATATAAAACATTGTTACTTTTTTTTTCAATAACTTGCTGTCTTAAAAATATTGATATACCATTTTGATTTGAGACTGGCTTGTTATTCCTCAATGAAACTAAAACTGTCATCAATGCTAGGCTATTATAACATTAAATTCCATTAGTCGAAGTGCACCTGTTAGCCAATTGTACAAAGCCACATCCCTTTCCAGCAGGTATTTTTACAGAGACAACCTCGCCATACTGAGAAAAGGACTGCCTGAGATCTTCATCAGTGACATCAGAGTCAAGCCCTCCCACAAATATCTACAATGAAAAATGGGTTACTTATGTAACTAGAGTTGTAATAACTAACTGATCAAGTGAAGCTGGACTTACTGTTGTATTCGATGAATCACCATCAGACTGGGCATTCTGGGGCATAGCACCATTTGAAGGATATGAACCAGTCAATACCAGAGCTATCAAAGAAAGTAAAATTAGTTTTCTTTTCTTTTCTTTTTTTTGTTTTTTTTGCTTTCTTTTCTTTTCTTTTCTTTTTTTTTTTGGGGGGGGGGGGTTCACAGGAGTTTATTTATGTTCGTGGAAGTACTAAGATTATTATGGGTGAAATGATAATAACGTTAATCAGCTAGAGATTATTAACTCTCAGCAGTTAAACCATAAAGATAGTGTTCTATGCAAAATCTAGATGCTTTAATAATTCATAAAAAAAATAAATAAATAAATAAAAATTACAAGGTCTTGAATATGAATCAAAGGATGCATGCAAAAATATACAAGATATGATAAAATAAGGAAATGCGATGCCGTTTGGTAACACTTACGTTTTCAGTTTTCTGTTTATATTTACAAAAATTTTAAAAACTCGAATAAAAACTTGTTTGGTAAATTTTTTATTTATAAATCAGTAGTCTCAGTTTATAAATTTTGCTAAAAAATGTAAACTCAAAAAATGTGTTTTCATTTTGAGTTTTGAGTTTTGAGTTTTTTTTTTTTTTTCCACCCAACACTAGCCACCACCCGCCACCATTTTCCACCACTGTCTTCCTCCACCACCACCTACCACCCCCTGCCACCACGACTCGCCAGCCACCCACCAGCCACCACCCACTCGCCACCCACTCGCTACCATCACCCACTTTTCGCTACCACCAGCCACCCGTCATCCACCCACCCACCCACCAGACACCACCCACCTGCTACCCACTAGCCACCACCACCCACCCCTCGCCGCCGCCACCACCACCACCACCCGCAACCCCCCACCCATCCACCCACCACCACCCGCCACCTACACGCCACCACCACCCACCCACCTGCCACTACCACCACCACCCACCTACCACCCGCCACCGTCACCCACCCATCCACCATCACCACCACCCACTTGCCACCCACCTGCCACCACTACCCACCACCACCCACTCGCTACCACCACCACCACCCACCCGTCACCGTCACCCACTCACCCACCACCACCACCAACCCGCCACCACCCGCTACCCACCACCCACCACCGTCTTCCGCCGCCACTTGCCATTTCTCACTCTTTTTTATATTTTTAAATTTTTTTAAACATTTTGTCAATTACCAAACATGTTTGTAGTTTATGTTTTTCTAAAAATAAACAAAAAATAAACAAAAACCAGTTTATAAAATTTTTGTAAATATAAACTGAAAACGTAAACGTTACCCAACAGACCAGCACAAGAATCAATTACTCAAAATTTCCGTGTGGAATGACGCTTGAAAAAATTCAACTGGCATTTTCATGACCAAAAACGACAATGATGCAGAACAACAAAACCACAGCGTAACCATGACAAATTCAGAACACAGTAAACAAAATTTGAACAATAATTGCTATGTTTTCACAGGGAAAGACAAAAGCCAAACACCAACATAAATCATCTCCCAGATCAGAGCTTGGAAGGAAGTGAGAACATATCATACATATGCAGAAAAGGGAACACTAAACTATACCTTGTGATGAATATTGTTGATACCCTGATTGCTTCTTAGGGGTCGCAACACCTACGCGCATCGCCCTAGATGAACAGTACATGCCATTCATTTCAGTGATGGCCCTTGACCTCTCATTTTCATCGCCAAACCTAACAAAACCATAACCTTTTGAACGGCCAGTATTTGAATCAACAACAACTTTGGCTCCTTTAACAGATGGATATCTACTAGCAAAAGTTTCATGCAATACTGCATCAGTAACATCTGCAGCCAAATCTCCTACAAATACAGAAAGATCTGAACCAGTATCCACACGCCTATCACCTGTGCTGAAGCCTGCCCAATTTAGGCGGAAGGTTTGCTCTTTTAAAATTTTAAAAATATTCACTAAAAACAAAAAAACACGAAAACTAAAAACTCAATTTTTAAAAAATTTAATCCAAAAAATTCAAACCAAACACACTGATTAATTAGTATACTCAATGAGAACAAATTACAAGCAATCTCTATTTTTATTTTTTGTGACACGATAAGATATTAATAAATTAATTTAATTAGATTATTATAAAAAACTCGACGCTACTCTATTGAGTGAGTGATTGATCAATTAGTTATTTTTGTATATGATTATTTCTCCTTTCTTTTAAAAATTCTGTGTTGTACTGAATTATTTATTTATTTCTCCTCTTTTATTTATTTTTTTAATTCTAAGGATATGTCTTTTAAATTTATTTTATTTTATTTTTTTTGGACCGATATGGGTATGTCTTTTAAAAGCTTGAAACACATAAAAAGAATAAGAAAAAAAGAAAAAGTAATGCCATATATAATTCATTTTCAAAATAAGATAAGAAATAATATTATAGGTAGCATTTTCAAAATTAAAAAAGAAAAGAATGTCATACATGTGAAGTGGGCTGAATCACTCTCTCAATGGGCTTAAAAGGCCCATGCCTCTTTCATTAAAGTCCATTGGACTTATGTTCTAGTACTGCCCTACTTGTTACGAACCATGAAATAAAAGTGGCCTGGCCCAGTGTGAAAAAGAACAGGCTTTGAGGTCATCATCAAACTGAAAGTATACTGCATCTGCATTACGTGTGGATCCTTCCTGTCATAAATTTAACTTATTTTTCAAATTTGATGTGAGAGTCTATTAAAATATTTAAAATAATTTAATTTTTTATTTTTTTAATTATCAATTAATTATCATTTTTACATATCTCTAGAGATTTTTACATATTATCATTTTTCTTTAAATTTCGTTTGTTCAGAAAGAAACGGACGATAAAAAATGAAAATAATAGAAAGTTAAATAAAACAATGAAAAAATAAATAAAAATTTCATTTTTTTTGCATGCATTTGAATAGATGAAAAATGTTGTAAGAAAATGATGACAAAAAATACAATTACTACATAACAGAGAGTTGGGAAGAGAAATATGTGCAAAAAAGAAAACGAAATAAATATCAAAATTGGTGAGAAAAAATAAATTTTCCTTATAAGAAATTGTTAACCTAACACAAACTAATTTGAGTTGTACATAAAATTTTAGTTCCTATTATTTTTGAAACTCTCCAAAAAAAAACATAAAAAATTATTTTTTCCCCCTTTTTCCTTCACTTTCCCATTTAACTAGGCCTCTTTTGAGAATATGAAAACAAATTAATTTATTGACTTATTTCAGTCACATTATCTCTCTAACTTTTTTATACATTTAAAAAAAAATCAATAAAATTTATCTGTTTTTTTTTCTTGCTCCCCGAAACAAACTTAAATTCAACCTTAAAGCTATGTTTGTTTCACAGTTTGAGTGGTTAGATTAGACTACCATAGACGTGGATCCCACCCACAGCATGTTTAATAGTGAAATTAGAGGGCGGATTGGTAGTTCAAGGGGCTTAGTAATCCCTCTCAATAGGGAGATTAACTTGGTTAAGTTTTGGGTGGGATTGAACCTATTTTATATAAATATTTTATTTTTTTACCAAGTGCATCTATTTATTTTAATTTTTTGAATATAAAAATAATTTAATAATTTCATCACTAACCATTTCTCATATTATCATCAAAATAAACACACTTTTACTTAATTCTTTTACTAGCCCATCACCCGTGCTATGTACGGGATAATTATAGATATTTATATTTATTTTAGATTTTTTTTAATATATAAATTATGTTTTTTAAGATTTTTTATAAAAATAATTTAACAATCTTATCACTAACCATAGTGTATGGGAGAAGTTGAAAATGGTATTGTAGTAACTATACACAATTTGTATCTATACTTATTTGCTTGAGAGGATTTTAAATGTTGATCAAGGGATTTTGCCCAAATCAATAAATATAAGCATGTGGAAAGACATGTAGATTGAAAAAAGTTAATAAATGTTGATCAAGGAATTTTGACAAAATCAATAAATGCTGTGTTTTTTTTAATAAAAAATTTAAAAAATTCATATTGGGATTATTTAGAGCCATTGAACAAATTACAATCACATTTTTCTTTTTGTGAGTTAACTTCAATCATATTAAAAAATCAAATTATAAACAAAAGGAGATAACTTTAATCATATAAATCACAATTTTTTAATGCTATCTAACTACAATGACATTTTTCTCATAATAAAAAAAATAATTGAAAAAAATAACCATTAAAATAGTAAATAAAAAAGATTATTTAGAATTATTGAACAAACTACAATCACATTTTTCTTTTTGTGAGTTTATATTTATCTAACTTCAATCATATTAAAAAATAAAATTATAAACAAAAAAAGATAACTTCAATCATACAAATCACAATTTTTTTAATGCTATCTAATCATCATTAATAATTAGAAAACACAATAATTTATTTTTCAAAAAATATAGTGAGTTAAAAAGATCAACTACAATTTTTTTTTGGTCAAAATACAATCTAATTATCATCAATAATTGGTACATTATGTGACCCTAATGAGTACAATCCATTTTGTTTTTCAAAAAATACAGTGAGTTAAAAATCAAATCACAAATTAAGTGAATTGATAGTTAAAAAAACATAATATTTTTTTTCAAAAAACACGGTGAGTTAAAAATATCAATTACAATTTTTTTTTTCAAAATACAATATAATCATTATCAATAATTGGTACTTTAAAAATCAAATCAGAAAAAAATCAAATCAAATCACAAATATTTTTATGCTATCTAACTACAATCATATTTTTTTTTATAAATAATTGTAAATAAAAACCATTAAAACAGTAAATAAAAGTTTAAATCACATTTAAAAAAAAAGAACCATTGAACAAAGTACAATCACATCACATTTGTCCCATAATAAAAATAAATAAATAAATGAAAAAAGAACCATTGACTAACTACAATCACATTAAAAAAAAAATATTGAACTAACTACAATCACATTTTTTTCTTTGTGAGTGTTTATGTTTATCTAATTTCAATCATATTAAAAATAAAATTAAAATAATAAATAAAAAGATTAAATAACATTTAAAAAAAATACCATTGAACTAAGTACGACAATCATATTAAAAAAAGAGCCATTGAACAAACTACAATCACATCACATTACAATGACATTTTTTTTCTTTGTGAGTGTTTATGTTTATTTAACTTCAATCACATTAAAAATAAAATTAAAATAGTAAATAAAAAGATTAAATAACATTAAAAAAAATTATTGAACTAACTACAACAATCATATTAAAAAAAAAGAGCCATTAAATAAACTACAATCACATCACATTTTCTCCATAATAAAATAAATAAATGAAAAAAAAATAACTATTAAACTAACTACAATCACATTAAAAAAAAAGAATCATTTAACTAATTATAATAACATTTTTCTCTTTGTGAGGGTTTATATTTATCTAACTTCAATCATATTAAAAAATCAAATTATAACTTTTTATTCCCTAGACAAATCACAAATATTTTTATGCGCTATCTAACTACAATATTAAATCAGTGAACAAAAGGAAAAGTCAAGAATGAGAAAACAAAAAGAAGACTTATTGTTCGCATACGTGGTCACAGAAGTTGGAAGTGTAAAGGTGAGAAATCAAGCAGGAGAAAACAAAAAGGAGACTCACTGTTTGCAATAGGTATGTGAAAAGTTAAAAAGAGTGTGTGAATTGGAGAAATTAAAAAGACTTGGAAGAATTTAATAAGTTCTAAGTTTTTTTTTTTTAAAAAAAATCAAAAAAATTAAGAAATTAAGGTTCAGATATTGAAACTCCCACAAAACTTGTGGGTTAGACATAGATATAAATAAATAGATATATATAGATATAGATATTTATATTTGTTTTAAATTTTTTTAATATACAAATTATTTGTTTTGGAAAAGGTATTGCAGTAATTATGAGAGAAATCAAAAAGTCTTGTGGGTTGAGAGAAGTTAATAAATGCTGTGGTTAATTTAAAAAAAAAATAAAAAATTAGAAAATTAGGATTGGCATATTGGAGCTCCCATAGTCCTTGGGGGCTAGAAACCCCCTTCCGCTTAATATATAGTACTAACATATTACCCGTGCTATGCACGGATTGTGTTTACAATTATCTATATATGTGAATTGTGATTTTTAAATATTTTTTTTAAATATCTTCTTTTTTTTTATATTTATATTATATTAAAGTTTAATAGTTTGATAATAATCATATGTGTTGGACTTTTTAAGAATTTTTTTTTTATACTTGTTCTTAATGCATTAAAATGTTATTATGAGAGATAATAATCATATGTGTTGAACTAAAAACAGAAGGAGAGAGAGAAAGAGAATAAAACCTATAATCACTGCTCTATAGATGTTATTCAACTATTGCATTTTACATTTACCACTTTATTTTGGATACTCAATACAATAACCATATTTGAATCCTGAAAAATCTCAAAAATAGATTTTTGCAGCAGTAAAATTCAAATCCACAAGACACAAGCACGCCATCCGTCAGACTAATCCCTTTAATCTTCCAAAAGAGATTATTAAGACGCAAGAAATATAATCCATATTTAAACAAAATATATAATCAAATTCCTACTCCCCAAAAATACATGATAACTGACATTTATTTTAATGTTCCACATGCACTACAAGCTCAAAAATAATGAATCACAATATTGCTGTAAAAGAATCAGTAGTGTAGTTTCCACACTACCCCAAAAGATAAAAGGAGTGAAAACAAAACAAAACAAAACAAAACAAAATTAGAGTTCGAAATCCGTACAATTTGAAGACCTATATTAGGAAAAAGAAAACATCAAAATTACAAAAGAGAACCTTAATTGCTAACTGGTTACAGCTCAAGAAGAATTTAATCTAAACAGGGGGTGGCTTTAACCACAGCCGAAGAAACAATTCGTAACTTTCTTCCCTACCATTTCTGGTTCTTTGCTCACTGCGGCGCCTGCTAATTTTCCCCCCCTTATAAGTTGTGACGTTCGCCATTAAATCTAATGTACCTCGAATCAAAACCAGCAACAATTTATGGCATGAATTAGGTGGTGATTTTCAACCAACCCATGTTTTTTGTTGGTCCCACTTTCTGACATCAAGCGTCGTTCAACGGTTCTGTAATCATATGTGTTAGACTTTTCAAGGAATTAAATGTCTTCTTTTTTTTATTATATTATATTAAAGTTTAATATTTTGATAATAATCATATGTGTTGGACTTTTCAAGAAATTTTTTTTATACTTGTTCTTAATGCATTAAAGTGTTATTATGAGGGTAAGACTTGGGAGAAGTTAATAAATGCTAAGATTTTTTTTTTAAATCAAAAAATTAGAAAATTTAGATTGGGAGATTGGAGCTCCCACAAGACTTGGGGTTAAAAACTCCATTTTGTTTAATATATAGTATAAATAGATGTGTTGAACTTTTCAAATAATTGAATATTTTTTTTTATTATATTATATTAAAGTTTAATATTTTGATAATAATCATATGTGTTGGACCATTCAAGAATTTTTTTTATACTTGTTCTTAATGCATTAAAGTGTTATTATGAGGGACGATAATCATATGTGTTGGGACTTTTCAAGGAATTCATATGTATTGGATTTCAAATTTTTTTTTTATACTTGTTCTTAATGCATTAAAGTGTTATTATGAGAGTAAAACTTGGGAGTTGGGAGAAGTTAATATATGATAAGATTTTTTTTTTTAAATCAAAAAATCAGAAAATTTAGATTGGGAGATTGGAGTTCCCACAAGGCTTGGGGTTAAAAATCCCCTTTTGCTTAATATATAGTATAGATAGTATAGATAGATTGAGTGTTTATGTTTATCCAATTTCAATCATATTAAAAAATTAAATTATAAACAAAAGGAGATAACTTCAATCATACAAATCAAATTTTTTTTAATGCTATCTCACTACAATCACATTTTTCTCATAATAAAAAAAATAATTCAAAAAAATGACCATTAAAATAGTAAATAAAAAGATTATTTAGTAGCATTGAACAAACGACAATTACATTTTTCTTTTTGTGAGTACTTATGTTTATCTAACTTCAATCATATTAAAAAAATCAAATTATAAACAAAATGAGATAAATTCAATCATACAAATCACAATTTTTTTTAATGCTATCTAACTACAATTATATTTTTCTCATAATAAAAAAATAATAATTAAAAAAAAAGAACCATTAAAATAGTAAATAAAAATATTATTTATAGCTACTGAATAAATGACAATCACATATATATTTTTTTTAAGTTAACTTCAATCATATTAAAAAATAAAATTATAAACAAAATGAGATAATTTTAATCATATAAATCACAATTTTTTTAATGCTATCTAATCATCATCAATAATTAAAAAAATCAATTACAAATAAAGTCAATTGATAATTGAAAAACACAATAATTTATTTTCCAAAAAACATAGTGAGTTAAAAAGATCAATTATAATTTTTTTTGGGTCAAAATATAATCTAATCATCATCAATAATTGGTACATTATGTGACCCTAATGAGTACAATCCATTTTGTTTTTCAAAAAACAGAGTGAGTTAAAAATCAAATCACAAATTAAGTGAATTGATAGTTAAAAAAACACAATAATTTATTTTCAAAAAATACAGTGAGTTAAAAAAATCAATTACAATTTTGTTTTTCAAAATACAATCTAATCATTATCAATAATTGGTACTTTAAAAATCAAATCAGAAAAAAATCAAATCAAATAACAAATATTTTTATGCTTTTTAACTACAATCATATTTTTTTCATAAATAATTGTAAAGAAAAACCATTAAACCAGTAAATAAAAGATTAAATCATATTAAAAAAAAAAGAACCATTGAACAAACTATAATCACATCACATTTTTTCTATAATAAAAAAAATAAATAAATGAAAAAAAGAACCATTGACTAACTACAATCACATTAAAAAAAAAAGAACCATTGAACTAACTACAATCACTTTTTTTTCTTCGTGAGTGTTTATGTTTATCTAACTTCAATATATTAAAAATAAAATTGAAATAGTAAATAAAAAGATTAAATAACATTAAAAAAAAATACTATTGAACTAACTATAACAATCATATTAAAAAAAAGAGCCATTGAACAAATTACAATCACATCACATTACAATCACATTTTTTTCTTTGCGAGTGTTTATATTTATTTAACATCAATCATATTAAAAATAAAATTAAAATAGTAAATAAAAAGATTAAATAACATTAAAAAAAAATTATTGAACTAACTACAATAATCATATTAAAAAAAAAGAGTCATTGGACAAACTACAATCACATCATATTTTTCCCATAATAAAATAAATAAATGACAAAAAAGAACTATTAAACTAACTACAATCACATTTAAAAAAAAAAATATTCAACTAATTATAATCACATTTTTCTCTCTGTGAGGGTTTATATTTATCTAACTTCAATCATATTAAAAAGTCAAATTATAATTTTTTATCCGCTAGAAAAATCACAAATATTTTTCTGTGCTATCTAACTATAATATTAAAACAGTAAACAAAAGGAAAAGTCAAGAAGGAGAAAACAAAAAGAAGACTTATTGTTTGCATACGTGGTCACTGAAGTTGAAAGTGTAGAAGTGAGAAGTCAAGAAGGAGAAAACAAAAAGGAGACTCATTGTTTGCAATAGTTATGTGAAAAGTTAAAAAGAGTGTGTGTTGGAGAAACTAAAAAGATTTGGAATAATTTAATAAGTGTTAAGTTTTTTTTTCAAAAAAAATAAAAAAATAAAGAAATTAAGGTTCAGATATTGAAACTCCCACAAAACTTGTAGATTAGAGATAGATATAAATAAATAGATAAATATAGATATAGATATAAATGTTTATATTTATTTTAAATTTTTTTTAATATACAAATTATTTATTTTGAAAAATGTACTGCAGTAATTATGAAAAAAGTCAAAAAGTCTTATGGGTTGAGAGAAGTTAATAAATGCTGAGGTTAATTTTTTTTTAAAAAACAAAAAATTAAAAAATTAGAATTAACATATTGAAACTCCTACAAATCTTGAGGGTTAAAAACTTCCTTTTACTTAATATATAGTATAAATAAATAATTCTTATATTAACAATCTATAAACTAATAAAAAGAACTATTAAACTAACTACAATCACATTTAAAAAAAAAAATCATTCAACTAATTATAATCACATTTTTCTCTTTGTGAGGGTTTATATTTATCTAACTTCAATCATATTAAAAATTCAAATTATAATTTTTTATCCACTAGAAAAATCACAAATATTTTTATGCGCTATCTAACTACAATATTAAAACAGTAAACAAAAGGAAAAGTCAATAAGGAGAAAACAAAAAGAAGATTTATTGTTTGCATACGTGGTCACTGAAGTTGAAAGTGTAGAAGTGAGAAGTCAAGAAGAAGAAAACTAAAAGGAGACTCATTGTTTGCAATAGTTATGTGAAAAGTTAAAAAGAGTGTGTGTTGGAGAATCTAAAAAGATTTGGAATAATTTAATAAGTGTTAAGTTTTTTTTTCAAAAAAAATAAAAAAATAAAGAAATTAAGGTTCAGATATTGAAACTCCCACAAAACTTGTAGATTAGAGATAGATATAAATAAATAGATAAATATAGATATAGATATAAATGTTTATATTTATTTTAAATTTTTTTTAATATACAAATTATTTATTTTGAAAAATGTACTGCAGTAATTATGAAAAAAGTCAAAAAGTCTTATGGGTTGAGAGAAGTTAATAAATGCTGAGGTTAATTTTTTTTTAAAAAACAAAAAATTAAAAAATTAGAATTAACATATTGAAACTCCTACAAATCTTGAGGGTTAAAAACTTCCTTTTACTTAATATATAGTATAAATAAATAATTCTTATATTAACAATCTATAAACTAATAAAAAGAACTATTAAACTAACTACAATCACATTTAAAAAAAAAAATCATTCAACTAATTATAATCACATTTTTCTCTTTGTGAGGGTTTATATTTATCTAACTTCAATCATATTAAAAATTCAAATTATAATTTTTTATCCACTAGAAAAATCACAAATATTTTTATGCGCTATCTAACTACAATATTAAAACAGTAAACAAAAGGAAAAGTCAATAAGGAGAAAACAAAAAGAAGATTTATTGTTTGCATACGTGGTCACTGAAGTTGAAAGTGTAGAAGTGAGAAGTCAAGAAGAAGAAAACTAAAAGGAGACTCATTGTTTGCAATAGTTATGTGAAAAGTTAAAAAGAGTGTGTGTTGGAGAATCTAAAAAGATTTGGAATAATTTAATAAGTGTTAAGCTTTTTTTCAAAAAAAAAAATCAAAAAAATTAAAAAATTAAGATTCAAATATTGGAACTCCCACAAAACTTGTAGGTTAGAGATAGATATAAATAAATAGATAGATATAGATATAGATATAGATATAGACATTTGCCCTTCAGCTATTGCATTTAAGTTCTCTATGGTCTCTTTATCCTATTTTATATCTTGTGACGAAAATGTTCTCAACAAGATAACAAGTGAATGAAGAAGCGCTCACCTTCTTCTTCAGAGAACCATATTTCCATCTCAGAACTTCTGTTGTGCAATCATCCTGTAGACACCTTATTTTATTCGACTATAAGATTCGGATACCTCCATGATATCCCCAATGAAGAAGAAAGAAAGAATACTATTCCTTAGAAAGTGAGAATCTAGAAATCTATTGAACAGAGTGTTTATCCCAAAAAATAGACTATCAGAAGCCTGTTGACATGCGTCTGTGTTGCCCGGCACACACCAGAAAGAAACTAGATGTGCCGCACTACAAGAGAGCAACATAGTACAAACCGGGAGCACAGTGGCGCGCCATATGGCCTTTTGGCACACGCCATTTGAAAGTGGCGAGCACCATCTTGTTATGCTGCGCGCCATAGTGGCTCTTCTTGCGCCATCTTCGCCCAGAAAGCTACTGTTCCTGTCCCACCAGGTCTAGTCTAGTTGACTTTGGCTCGACTCTTTAAGCCATTTTGTCTATAAATAAGAGCACTATTCACCCATTTAGAGAGAGAGAGAGAGAGAGGATCTTCACTCTTTTGAATTTATTTTTAGTTTAATTATAAAACAAGATGATGCTTAGTAGACACTAACCAGATGGTTACGCTAAGTGGGTGCTTAGCACTTTCCCACTTAGTAACTTAGCCCCTGAGCTCATTATCTCTAGGTATATGACGAGACTGGTGCCTATCTTTGGAGGCTCATATATGTGGTTTTCTGGAACGTATAACTGGGTGGCAACTCCTAAAAAAAAAATTCCTCACAGACCTCCAGTTGCCTTCGAGAAGACATTGGTTCCTTTCTTATGCCAAAGGCAGCCTAAAAAACCCTGTGTCCACATATCCAAGATGTCATCTGCTTCATGGGTTGCATCATTGAGTTTTCTCAACCAATTTTGTATTGTTTTGTCTCAAAATCACCTTTGGTCTGCATCATCAAAGACAACATGGATGATGGAGACAGTGTTTGAAAGCTTTTTCATCTCGTTGTCAAGCACACAAAGCAAGCCCACATCTCCTTCTGGATTAAGGAATTCAGATTTTAAAGCACAAACGGAAAAATGACACAACCATGGTCAATTGCTGTCTGGATTCAATGTAAGCTCTCTAAATTGTAAATGCTTTGCAATCTGAATGCCTCAAGTGATATATATATATATATACACACACACACATACACACACACAAAAAAACAAAAACAAAAAAGCTTTATCATGATTTTGTACTTTATGTAGCTTTAGAATAATCAATAAGAATTATTTAAATGAACAATAAGCAACTTCACACAAGAAAAATCTAAACCTCATACCTATTTATCCATTTACTTTACATGATCATAATTTAAAAAAAAATTAAAATAAAAAATCAATTTGGATTCTATACATGTAATGAACATTATCCAATCATGTACCTACATATACGCATATACACATATATAAATTCATAAACATTTCTGAAATGAAACCATTCGAAAATTAAGATTATAATAGAAGTTTTACCTTCTGTTCGATCTTAGGAACCTTCGCATGGTGATTTTGTCATTGTTGTTGAAGCGATGAACGACAAATGAAACCATTCGAAAATTAAGATTATAATAGAAGTTTTACCTTCTGTTCGATCTTAGGAACCTTCGCATGGTGATTTTGTCATTGTTGTTGAAGCGATGAACGACAGACGAAAGACGACTTCTCAAAAAATCTAAATCTGGATCTGGATCTGGATCTAAATCTAGATCCAAATCCATGACTTTGGAGATTTTTATAGAAGTCCAGCATAGTGATCTCCATGTCGTTGACGAAAACCTTGCAGCTGATTTCATCATTAGTGAAATCAGATTTGCATGGCGGTGGCGCCGCTATGGAGTTACAATGGATTGACAACAGTAGGAGTGGATTTGAAGAGAGAAAAAAGTTGCGATCCTCTTCCAGATCTGTTCAATTCTCTTCTAGATGTTCAAAAGTAAAGAGAGAGAGAGAGAGAGAGAGGAAAAAAAAAGTAGATCGCTCAAATGATAGTGACAGTGACGGATCAGTGGCGATCGACGATAGAGGTAGTGACACCACGACTCTACTGCATCGATGAAAAGATAAAAGAAGAGAGAGAGAGAGAGAGAGTCAACTGACCACAGTGGAGGATATAACAGCATGGGTTGAGTACCAATCCTCATTTCTTTTTCGTATAGAGATAGTTGCATAAAAAAATTAAAAATTAAAAAATAAAATTTTAAAAAAATGGAATGGTTTTCTATCATAATTGGACTATGCTCAAAAATTTTCTAAGTGTGGAAATTGGATTTTTCAAAACTTGCGATTTTGAAAATAATTTTTTGCGGTAATTATTCCTTATGTATTAAATAGTCTAATTTGAATTTATAGGATTTTTCTATGAAGTATTAACCCTTTACTTCAACATCAAACTTAGATATTTTAGTTGGAAAATTAATCTTGTATCAAAACTAGGGGAACTACTTTTTGATTTAATTGGATTTTGATTTTTTTTGTATTTTTTTTTTAACCAAATAGGAGGTATTTCCTTATTTATATTATAAACTTAAGTAAAACATTTACTTAAATTGTTACATATGGAAATAAGGTTGATGTGCAAGGAATGCCTTAAGGATTGAGTCTGTGAGGTTGTCTCTGTCTAACAAATCTCAGTTCACTCGAGCACATGAGTGAGCGCTTGAGCAGTTTGCTCCTCACGCTTGAGATTCTAGGAGCCTTCATTCTTCGCTCGAATGTAAGAGTGAGCACTCAACCAGTCTGTTCGGAATCAGCCACTTAAATTTGATCTTTTGCTTCACTTTTCTCACTTTTTCTTTCTCTCTTCTTCTTCTCTCTTCGTGTGAAAAACCCTAACCCTAATTGATTTCACCCATTTTCTTCAAGAGATCATCCAAGATCTTGTCTTAAAGACGAAGAGGAAGTGAAGATCAACGTTTTTACCAATTGAATCGCATTATCTTCGAAGTTCTCCTTGGGTTTTCATTTTCTTGTCTCCATAGTTGAGGTAGGGGTACTTTTAACTTAGTATATCTATGAGTTGAGGTGTATATGTGGTAATTTCTTAGTTACATTTATGTATGAGATCAATGTGTTAGATTAAATGGATGTTGATACATAAAAATGGGTCTTTGTCCAAGATTTTGAATAACTATTGATGATAAAGGCTGTTGATGATGAATATTTGTTTTTAAAATGCAAATGGAGTAGTGGAATGGTGTATGAATAATGATTTTGAGACGTTATGAAATTTTATATTGTGATGAAGGAAATTGGGTATTGTTGGGAATGTGGAAATTGGAAACTTCTTAACTATGAACTATGTTAAGATTTATATGTTTGGCAATGAATGTATCTTAGGCAATTGAAATGTTTGCAAATTCATGCATTGCATTATATTACATAATTTCATCTCTTGATTTAGTATAATGTCTTGGATATTTGAAAATGTTGAAAGGGGGTAAATGGCGCATGAGTCTGAGTACTAGAGTCAGCTTTTACGAAAAAAAGTTGTGTATTGTATTGGTACTCGTGTGGGGAGTCGAGGTGCCCAATTGTCCTGTCTTAAACTTTTTGTTGTACAAATGTGGAAAAATATGATTTTTGGGTGTCCACGAGCCTGCAATTTCAGGAGTCGATAAATATGGAAAAAACATGATTTTTGGGTGTCCATGAGCCCGCCGTTTTAGGAGTCGGCATATGTGAAAGGGAAAAGGTTTTTGGTAATGGTTATCATGGATCCATCAAATTCACTTAATCTGACCCGATCCAATCCAACTCAATTGATTTTGGACGGATTCATGTCTTTTGACGGACAAATGCGGATGAAATATTTCAAAATCCGCTAATATAGTTCGGATAGCAGATCAACCATCTTGCACCCGTATGAACCTGATCTGCCCGTAGATAAAGTTCAAAACAAAAATAAAAAAGGAATTGTTAACAAGTAACAACATATAGTAGAAATAATAAAATATATATTTTTGTGAAAATAAAAAATAATACCTTAAAAATATGCATGTGTGGTGCCATGGCCTATTATAAACAAATAATACATATTTTTTCAAATTACTAGTTATTGAAGATTGTAAAAGTAATGAATTATAATTCGAAAAAATGTCCAAAATTTGTAAAGTTCAAACTGCCAAACCAATTGCTTCCATCCGTTAATCCGTACAGCCCATTCAAACTGCATTTGCCAAACCAGTGAACAGATGTAGATTGATTTTTTCCAATCCGCCTTGTTTTGGATGGATGGTGAATGGAATGCCACCCAACCCAACCTGATCTGCGATCACCCCCTAGTTATTGGGTGCCCATCTCTTGTTTTAGACGGATGGTGAATGGGATGCCACCCGACCCAACCTGATCTGCGGTCACCCCTTAGTTTTTGGGTGCCCATCTCCCCGCCATATTTTAGAGTTGGCGAATGTAGAAATATTTTCAGTATACAAATTTATATATGTATGTATGGTGTTGCAACTCTTTCTTGGGACATCATTGGGTATTTACTGCCCCATTGTTGATAATGAGATTTTAAATAGAAATTGGGTAGTGAATATCATTGTTTTTAAATGAGAGAAATATGGATTTTATCATGGCATACTTTGTTAATAATATTCTTACTGGGTATTAGTGCATCCCTATCAGAACAAACATTTCAGGTTGTGATGATGTGGTTCCACTTAGCTAGGAATTGGTAAAGATCTTGATGGAGCATGAAAGCTCACTTTGGATGTTTTATGTGATTACAACCACTAGGCTTATGTATTTGGGATAGAATTCCACTTATGTGTGTAATCAAAACCCTGGCCTTGAAAGGTGTAAGCTCTCTTTGGGTATCTTGTTATATATATTTTTTTATTTCTTGAACTATAATGTATTATTATTTTGAACACTAATGTTGTAAAGTGAAATGTACCTTTTATGAGAAATCTAATGAGAAAAGATAAACAAATGGGTGTACTTTAATTAATTGTTTTTTAACTCTTTCTTCACATTTTGAAATTGAGATTAATAAATGATCAGTAA